TAATATCATCTAATATCATCTGATATCATCTAATATCATCTAGTACCATCTAATATCATCTAGTACCATCTAATATCATCTAATATCATCTAATATCATCTGATATCATCTAATATCATCTAGTACCATCTAATATCATCTAGTACCATCTAATATCATCTAATATCATCTAAAATTTTCAATATATCCCAGCTATTAAATTACCATTCAGATCGCCTTAGGTGACCGTCCAGTTCCTCACCATTCTGATCGATCCGTTGGGGAAGCACAGATGCCTTCGCCGCATCCCTGGGGTTGAGGTGTTTCCAGGATGGGAACGATGATATGTCCACCATTCACAGAATTGGATGATGGGAAAATTTACAGGAAACCCCTATATTTGATGGGAAAATCTATGGTTTCCTGTAGATTTTCCCTTAAACCAATCCATTGAACCATATATTTTTCAGATGTCCACCATATTTTTCGGGTTTTGAACTTTTTTTGTATGTTTTTGGGATTGCTTTTATAATTCGTAACCCCTAACCAAGAATGGGGGGTACCTCAGTGCAAACTTGTTGTTAAAGTTGGTAACCACCCTACGAACCACCACTGGTGGTTTACTACTCCTGGGCCAACAATAGCCTACAGGGCCCTTCCTGTATCGGTTTATTTGCAACTAGGATTGATAAGATCATGATGTAGTTGTATTCATCAGAACATTTACCGCCTGTGAAATTAACATCGACCCTGAAAATCACCAATTTTTCGTGGAAACTAATCTTCCAACCCCTATCTGCCGGGGTCTATGTTAATTTACTGCAGGGTATATACAGTTCAATGGGCATACATCCAATCACTCTCAGTCTCTCAGTAATCCGGTGATCCATGATGATCCCCAATTTGAAAGAGCTCCTGTACCCCAGATTCAGTGGTGCCCTGTTTTTTGGGCTCCTGTTTTAATTGGGGAAGTATTTGATCTTCGGAGGAAATGTCGGGGAGCTATCTGCGACTAGAGTACCCCAAGATCCAGTCGCTGAGAAACTTACGCAGAAATAATTAATTTGAACCACGATATATTTGGAGGTTTCCTAAAGGCTACCCCCAGTGGCCCCAGTTATCATCCATTTTATGTTCGGATTTTCCATTATAAACCGTCCAGCTATTGGAGTAGCCATGTCTATGGAAACACCTATTTGATGGCCACTGGGGGTCTCATTTTTTGATGGACACAGCCATATCCTATGAGCCATGCAGGCTTTCAGATCTCTCATATGTGTTTTAGGTTTTCAGCACATCGCCATGGGATTTTAGTGCGGATTCTCCAAAGTTACATACAATATTATATATATATATCATATAGTCCTATAATTATCACATACAATATTGCACATAATGTTACCAGAATAATTATCATACGTTTAATATGCAATACCTATCATATACACGCAATTTCCGCGGTTTGATCCTGCACAAAAAATATCAAAAAATGTTTCGTTTCGGCCGAGGTGGGCGCCTCTGGTGCGGCCCACCAACACAGATGGTGTGAACCCCGATTCCTCACGACATGTTCTCATTGAGGCCGTTGCGTAAAAAACACGGGGTAAGAAGGGATGGAAGGTTGGATGCAGATTTTTTTCTGGGGAATTACGCCAGATTACGCCAATTGCAGTCTCAGCCGCACGCTGCTTGGCAGTTTCAATCCCAAATTCATAGTTGAAGCCCCATCTTTTCTGTATATCCATTAGCAATGGTCATTGGTAAAATTTCCTTAGTACAATTTGCATTAGCTAATAACAGTACCACCATTAGCAATGCCAGGGTGTCTTGCTGGTCTTTAGTAAAGGCCTGTCAGGGTCAGGCTTGAAATCCCAGCTTTAGCCGCTATAGCCATGTAAAATATCCATCCACAAACGCAAACATATACGTATAATTATATGGAAAACTGGACCTGAATACCTTGATATACACATACAACCGAAATTGGGCCTGAAGTACCTTGGTACCGTTATTAGTCATGATGGCTTACCAGGAGACGAGCTAGGACGTCGTATCGCTACAGCTGAAGCTGACTTTTTGGCGTTGCAAAAAGTTTGGCGACATTCTTTGTTGACAACACTTTGCAAGTTACAGATTTGCAAATCGTTCGTTGAGTCCAAGCTACCAGCCTAAGCTGCTTGTGTCGGTTGTTCAGTGTCGACTCAATGGATTCCAGAACAGATGCCTTAATCGCTTTTGTGTCCAACAGTGCTGCACAGAGCCACCTTGCTTCTGATCTGCAACGACAATTGATTTTGTTTGGGAATATTTTGAGGTCCCCTGCTGACCACCTGCTGCGACTCCTGGAACTTTACAACCGACAACGGATCCGACAACTGATCGCTGTGAACATCTTAAGTTGGAGCTCACGGCGCAAGCCCGACGGCGTAACCGACCTGGCTGGAAACGTTGACCCAACTCTTGTCCACGCGCCCCGGCGTATCGAGTCTGTGAGTGAGTTATGGAAAACACTGTTTTTAAGATATATAATCTAATATAGGTAAATCGTTGATAAATATATAAATGGGCCATTTTGCACAGCTATGTTAGTTTACTGGGGAGTAACCACCAAAACGGTAGAAAGTAATCCATAGTAACTAGGGTTTTACGTGTCAACCATCTTGGGGGTTGTTATCATATATTACTGTACACATTTACATATCCTGTCTTGTGAACCAGCTTGCTATCATGGATTTATATGTATAAAATGTGTTGGCAAATTGGTTTCCATAACTACTCAGGGCCGTTTGGTCCCAAGTTAGATTACATTCCCATGTTCAGATTGGTTGAAGAAAACATGTGTCGTGTTTAAGTTCTCCATCATTCTTGAGCCAAGTTTTATCATAGTTCCTCATTAAATCCATATTGAAAAATCATAAGTACATTATTATTCATATATCCATTATTAATCATAAGTACATTAAATCCATACTAAAAAATCATCTTTTTTTTATTTCATATTTCCTCGAGTACATTATTCGTCATTGAGATCGCTGCGCCGTTGCCACGCCACCTGCCCCGTGGAGGACTCGTATTTGCAGACTGGCGACGATGCAATCGCCGTGAAGAGCGGATGGGATTGTTTCGGGCCCGGGGATCCTGGTCGAACGCGAGCGCCATGAAAGATCAGATGTAGGACATTAAGTCAAAAAACATATAACTAACTATATATATATATATATTATGTATATAGTCAACTAGTTGGTGAACGGAAATGGTGATTTCAACCATTTCAAGATGATTTGGATTCTTGGATCCAGATGATGAAGTAAATTACAATCGTCATTGGTAAGCCATAAGTGAATCATGGTAAATTGTTTAAGCAGTGTCCAAAATACCAATTCGATCCTGTAGATTTGTGTGTGGAGTTATACTACCTTTATATACGAGTGATTATAACCCATTAGATAATAATAATCATGAACTACCTTTGTATATGATAATGATACTGAACTTTAGTTGTGTAGGGGTGATTATGACCCATTATTGACCCCTCATTGCGCCAGAAAAAAATGAGGGGATGATACACATGATTTTTCATTGATTCTCCAATTCTCCATTCGAGCTTGTGGCGCGTTGCTTGAGCATCATTAAAATTCCGTTGTTTGGTTCCCAAGATAAAGAGCTGCCGGAAGTTGGATGGGTTGAAATATGTTGAAATTGTGAGCAAGTCACCGTCCATGTTTGTAGCTTGAATGCTGATCTTAATGGTTTGATATCATGAAAACACACGTTCTGAAAAATGAAAACATACAGAAACACAAAAAATGACACATGGATTTCTCCATAGATTATCCACCCAACATGATTTTTTTTCGGCAAGTGACTTAGGAACTCACCCTGCACTGGTTCTTTCAGTTCCTTGTTTCAAGGCGTGACCTGGCAGTTGCATCCGAGAACATCACCATCCGTCGCGTCACAGTGAGGCAAACAAGGCGCGTTGAGGGACGCGGAGAAATGTCGCCGCGTCCATGTTTGGTTTGTTTGATCACTGATGTAGATTGGATTGAATTGGGTGGCTCTGCTGTATTTAATTTATATTCCAAGTGTCAAACTCAATTTTTCCTATTCCCTTATTGTCTTGTACAAGATGGCAATTAAATAATAAACATATTCATACTATTCATACGAGTAATAGTCATCATAGTCATTGTAATAATGATATAGGACCCATGGTTATGTATAGGCAAATTACAGTAAGTAGTTGATAGGATTTCATCAACTTGGGTGAGTTGGTTTGGTAAATGTCAAAAAAATAGCTGAACATATCATGGATCAATGTTTTCCGAACAACGGGAGTCTAGTTTATTTTGCCCCAGATCTTTCACTAGTAGTTCATCCCAGTGTTCGATGGTGATACCGTGTAAATATACATATATATATACATATTCATATATATATATATACATATTCATATATATATATATTCATATATATATATATTCATATATATATATATATTCATATATATATATATATATTCATATATATATATTCATATATTCATATATTCATATATTCATATATTCATATATTCATATATTCATATATTCATAAATTCATATATTCATTCATTCATTCATTCAGTCAGTCATTCATTCATTCATTCACTCATTCATTCATTCATCCATCCATCCATACATACATACCTACCTACGTACGTACGTACATACATACATATATACATATATATATACATTCTCAGTGGCATTGTAAACATTGATCACGTTCCCACTCCCCTTGAATCATGCTTGGAAGCTTGGAAGAGGAAGTTGTTGCCACCACCTTTTCAGACTTATGGGAGAGTGTAGCTATGTATGGGATAAATGGTTTTGTTCCCATACTTTTCTCTAACTTCTTGAATGATATATATATATATATAGATCTAATCAAATACAATATATAGATGTGTGTGTATATATATATATATCAAAGACTGCTATATATTAAATATATCTATATATAATATATCTATACTTGTCACTCAACAGAGACTTAGCTCGTCTCTTCCCTGTGTCAGGGGTTGCAATGCCGCTGCCTTCACCATCGGTTCAGAGATGTCTGGGGGCGCCCGGCATCTCAGTTGGGATATGACTGGGACTACCCTTGATATATTGGGGATTCTTATCATATTATATCCAACTATTGGGGACTATAATATATTGGGGATTATGATACTGTAATGTTAATATTACATCATATGATATCCAATTCTGGAAGCAAGTGATACTTGTATTGCTTGGAATACCACGGGGATATGTTTTTAGAAAAAATGAAGCCATCAACATATTATATCATATTATAATATAATATAATATATAATATAATATAATATAATATAATATTAATATAATAAATTATTGGCTATGCAAAGCAAATCCGTCTGGCCAGGTCCAGGATGTGACCATCGAAGATTGTCAGGTGCTCAATGCCGGCGTGGCGGTCGAAATTAAGGCGTTTCACTCGCGGTGGTGCGGTGGTTGTTACGGGTTGACCGCCGAGAATGGGGGTGACACGAAGAAACATGTGGATTTGATAAAACACATAGTTATATAGTTGTCATGAATTTTTCCATGGAGGTTTCACTTTTTAGCTAAGAGACTTTTATTTTGAATTTGAGTAGTGGATATTTTTCACCAATAGATTGTTGCTTTGCGGATGTTCGTGGTTGATCCCCAGTCACGCCTTTCTGATCACCTTGGGATACCTTTGAGCTGCAGAAGTCTGCTCGGGTTTCCCTCCAGTGGTGTTCAATGCCTAAAGGGTGGCTGAAATTTGGTATGACTAGACAGGAACTACAGGAACTGCAGAATGTATGTAACCATATGTAACCATGGAATCTTCTATATCCCTGTTGCAGGGAGCAATCAGCATATATACAGCGCAGTAAGTGTAATTACACATCATGGATATACACAATCAATGTAGCCCAGTTAGTATGACCATTTACAACCCTGTGAGAGTCTGAAAATCGATATACAATAGCAACCCCTTAAAATTCTGCAAGAACAGAAAAAACATGTCTACTTCTGGAGGGTGTTACGATACATGGATAGTATGGATATCCTCCTCATCTCAAATTGGATCGGACAAAAATCACATCCCGTCAACAACTAAAATGCTCCAGATATGTCCAGATTTCCCCAAGTTCCGCCCAGTTCCACGAAAAATCCGGCCAGGTGGGCTCATCCCGGGGGGGCTTCGTGCGACGGATTCAGGTCCGGAAGTTGGAGGCCAGGGCGCCAGGGCCCAACTTCTACGATAGCGAAAGGCTTGGAACCTTGATCCAAATACTAGAGATTGATCATGGTAATATATGGTAAATCTATGGTAATATATGGTAAATATATGGTTAATCCATGGTTACTATATGGATAATCTATGGTTAATAATAGTTACCCTCTGGTTATGACTAACAGTTCGCCATGGTATAGATGGCCCTAATCGAAATAGATGGTTTACCGTTCTTAAAAATGGTGGATCTTTCCATGGCTATGTTAGTCATAACTAGATGGTATTTAAGATTATTTAATTAAGTAGATTTCAATCTATTTACGTAATCATAATTCCAAATAATCATATATAATCACTATCTAAGGGTTATCTCACCATGGCTAATTAGTTGGAATGGCTATGTTAGATTGCCAGAAGGCATTGGCGGTATTGGGGTATGGTTCATAGTAACCACAAATGTGAGGTGTTGGAGCCAACATGTGTAGGATTACAATGGCAGTTGGTCTTAGATGAGTGCTTTGCTTCAATGATGAGGAACGTGCCGGGCAACAAAGTAGAGATTACGTGAATTCAGCACCTCCCAAACCAGCCCTTGCTTGACTGCAAATGAAAGAACTGTTTCCCTTCCAAAGTACAATGTCCTGACCGAAACCATCTGGACTCTTGCCACCTGCAAATGAAATCTGCGGAATATTGGCCATGTCATGAAAGAGATCATCATCCACCACCATGTATGGAATCAGTGACCAACACCTTCATACGTCACCTTGCCATGATGAGTATCAAGAACCTGACGTTGATCGAGAATCTTCACGTATAGTAGTCGTTTGTTTTCGCACGTGAGTTTAATAACCAGCAAGAAAACAAGATTGGCATACCCCCATGTATCAATATAATATGTTGGACGCTTGCTTCGCTACACTTTATCAGCCTTATGAATTATGTTTGATGGTACGTATACCAGAGCTGTGGATGGTAGGGGTAGAGAACAAGTTCGGGATGATTTGTTTTCCATGGTGACCCTCAGTGACAACCATAGCCGCTGTGGCTGAACCACCAAGCCGATCTGTATAGGTTGTTTGGCTTGAGATGCCCGATGAATGCAGAATATATAATATATAATATTTAATATATGATATATGATATATGATATACAATATATAATGTATAATATATAATGTATAATGTATAACGTATAATGTACAATGTATAACGTATAATCTATAATGTATAACGTATAATATATAATATTTAACATATATATATATTAATGTTAACATATATATATATATGTATATGATATTACAATGCACATGATTATTTGCAACCATTCTCATGTTTATTGATACTAATTGGTGGAACATACCATGTAGAAATTAGCACACATATACACGTAAATATGCATATATATATAAATAATAATGAGCATCTTGGAGATGATTGGTCAATTTATCCCCATGATTGTGGTCGAGACACATACCATTTGACTTCCCCCATCTCCTATCCGGCTATCCTTCACAACGCTAGGTGTTGGCCACTGCGCGTGGAGCACTGGTTTCTGGGCGATGACCTGGGGTCTGATGGTGTAGCATCATGGTGTACCTCGCTTGGGTACACCTTGGCCCCGTGGTTTGGAACTGGGGTGAATCGTTGGCCCATTTAGAAATGGAGATATAAATGGGATAATCCAGTACTAAGCAGGCCATACTGTACTAACTTCACATACATATCTTTTGCACGGTACATGTATATATATATGATTATATATATAATTATATATATTTATTTATTATATATATATGGTATATATATATATGTCTATGTTTTTGGTGGTGAGTTGGTTGCGTTGCCATCCACAATCATGACTGGCTTCAATGCATTGTGCATTGAGGTTGTGATGGCTTCGTACCCCGAGAACAATCCCTTCTGCCGAGGGAAAACACAGCCCGCACCAGCTGTGCAGGGCTCTTAGAACCTGATCGCAAGGAGGATCTTGAGGATGTATATATATATATATATATCCAAATATCCATGAATATCCATGGATATCCATGATGATTACCAGATTGTTCATGATTATCACAGATGGTTACCCATTTGGGCCTCCGAATTCTTCTAGGGTTTATTACTCCGGGATGGTCATCCGTTGTGTGAAATGCCACCCATCAAGGGCAGTGCAACAAGTCGCACATGATTGGAGAAAAACGCGTGTGCTCCCAAGCGTTTAGAGTATGGAAACTTCGGCAACCAGATTGTGATAACATCAATAGTAATGATATATAATGATATATAATGATATACATTATAATGATATATAGTGAGAGATAGATATATATATATATAACGACATATAATGACATATATATATAATGATTAGCAATGATGATATGTTTTGGGACAGCACATAGTTACATAGCGACTCCAAAAAAGTCGAGTGCCCCAGCTAAATGGTGCACCAGACGGATTTCAGGTCGGACATCAGCTTCGAAGAAGTGACGGTCCATGGACCCACCCAAGGTGGCTCGACCTGATTGATCAACGAGCGTCGGCAAATGCTTATGTTGATAAATGTTGGCCATGGTTGGTCTATAAATGGAATATAAATGGAATATAATGGAACATAGTACCCTGAGTATTGGGACATTCGTGGAAATTCGCCAACCACTTCAGGTTGGTGATTTGTTTATCGGCCAGATGAGTCATGAGATCCGCTTGGATGTAGGGAGTTGACCAACAGCCAAGCAGAAGGATAAGCAACTTCCTTGTTGCTTTGAAGTTTCGATGCAAAGTGATGATGATGATGATGAAGATGATGATGAAGATGATGATGATGATGATTATGATGATGATGATGATGAAGAACATTCACCGAGTCACTAATCGAGACAGCAGCTAAAGCGGGCCAGTCAGCAACCCATGTCCGACTCAACGAAGTTCCCCATTCCAGGGGCAAACCCTACATTTGTGGATCATCAGTTCTGCACAGGTTGACCCGTTGACCCCGGCCCCGAATCGTTTATCTAGCGTAATAAGCATCCCCAACGTTTCACATGATAAAGTCCTATAAAAATATATATCATTATATATCTAAAAGTCCGAAAAGTGACTGTTGGTGGTAAATTAGCCCTCAATAAGTAACATTGAGGAAACCTTTCCTTTCATCATCGCTTTGGAAGATGCATCATGTCAATCGATTCAGTGGCAAATTGTACTTCTAAATTCTAAACCCATCAAATAGCTTCAAAAAAAAATGGAGTTTCCCATAAATGGGGGTAGCTCCAAATGGATGGTTTATAGTGGAACAACATTTTTTTTTCATGTCTGATGACTGGGAAAGCCGCGCCTCACGAGGAGCCTTGGTTCAGTTCCAGGGGTCTCCAGAGGTCTTCATGAGGAGCTTTGACCATCAGCTGGTTGGTGGTTTATAGCCTGTTTGGTGGTTTGGTTAAGGAACTATAGCTGGTCAATAGTCTGTTTGGTGGTTTGGTGGTTTGGATATATTGGTTACTAGAGATGGTTAATAGTGGAATATATATATAGGCTATTATAGGCTATAAACCAACAACAATGGGAATATGATGGTGATCGGGTTGGTGGTGACTGGAACATGGCTGTTATGACTTTCCATTCAGTTGGGAATGTCATCATCCCAACTGACTTTCACTCCATCATTTTTCAGAGGGGTAGGTTGAAACCACCAACCAGTAGTGGTTTATAGCTGTTTAAACATCAACAATAGTGAGTTTAACGCAGGGAAGACATGTTTGTCATGGCATTTCTTATAAGTTGTGTTTGTAAAAACGTGTGTTGATTTGACCACCAAACATGGGAGTTTTTAATAGGTATATAAGTATATCGGTATATCACCAACACATGTTGGTTAATGGATTCAGCAGCAACATTAGGGATGTAAAATGATGTAAATCTAATATGCTAACCCTCACAGAGACAAAACGTGACAAAACATGTTAGATATTCTGTTCTAGTTTAGTAACACTCTACTACCATCTATGCTTTTTATCTGGGGTGCTATGACTGGTTGTTGATTTGAAACATGTTCTGATGATTTCATTTCCACGCCATGAGCCAATGACTAAGTTTCGATTTGTTTTTTTCAGAGGTGGCTCGAGCACCAGTTATTGGATGATATTGGATGGTGCAGATGGGTATAGGATTTTCCAGTGAATAGCAACCAGTAATTTACTGATTTCACAAAGTTTTGGGCACTGCTCATTTGGGGCGAAGCATTCTTATCTTGGAGTTGGTTTTGGTTTTGACAAATTCTGTGGGCCCAAGCAAAATCCAGACATGTTTTTTTTTCTCCAGTGTAAAACCTAACCCTTGATCATTTCTGTCCTGCAAATTCTGGAATGGTTTTTCAATTTTGCAGGACATGGGAGCAGTGTAAAACCTAACCCTCGTTGATTTCACACTGCTCAGTCCATCGAGTGGATTTTTCACCCAGAGCAGTGACTTGGGACATTTGGGACCATCGGACCATCCCCAGTCGTCCAATCGAAGCCATGCAGAAATTGGAGAATGTCTGGAAAAACTCGCTGCAGATGGCATATCCAAAATTATAGTGGTAGTAGAATTATCTTGGATGATCTTATATTGATCTTATATATTATACTACTTGGATGATGGAACAATCATCTATTATAATATATATATAGATCATCCAAGTATAGTGGCATATCCATATAGATCTTGGATGATCTTGGAACAAGTAGTAGAAAATTCTGAACCGAACTTTGCTACTGCTCCGGGCAAAGAGTGGCGAATATGTTGTCTTTGTTTGTCATATGGGCCCATTTTCATGGAGTTGCTTTTAAACATATAATATCCTGTTGCACCACACTCAAAAGTCACTGTCTGAAATGCTAACCTAAGGAGAGCTGTTTTTCTGAAGGAGAATAGTTTTCTGTGGTACGCAGAAATGGGGTAAACAATGCTGCATGGGTGACTCGACAATTTGGGCGTTTGAAGGTCTTAGATATTGACCGTTTCGGGCTCCCAAAAAAGACGGTTTTGATCTGTACATATCTGTGGCCGTCCTGAAAATGAATGGTTGGCTTCCCAGCAAAACAGGATGGCACAGCATTTTGACCGCCAGTCAGAGGGTAATAGCGGTGATAGCATGGCCATCAGATCCTTGCCGTGAGGAACTTGACGGTGCGGCAGCTGCTGGCGAAGCAGGGAGCCTGGCAGGGGACCTGGGACCCGGTACCAGGGTCAATCTGGCCCGGTGAAATTTAGGGAGAAATTCATTATAGATCCTGATGAATGGCAAGTAGACTATACATAGATTGTGTATGGGGGTTAAGCTCATTAGGTGGAGTTTGAGTCGGGTTCTCATCAGTGATGGATCCTATCGTGGATCAACCGGGATCCATTTGCCAGGCATAATCTGCCAGAACTGGCCTCGTTTCAGTTCCGAGATGCAGGATATCGTTTGATCATATGTTGAGGGATTGGTTGCTGCTTTGTCTCAGCGAAAGCGCTATGGCATAGCAGTGGGCCAGCCGCGATTTGGCTGGCAATGTTCAGTCAAAAGCGTTGCACATGCCTTATCCGCAGGGTTGTCCGAGCATAGACTTGAGGGCACCCCACAAACCATTGGCCAGATATGCCGCAAGTCGGTCGCAGAAGTTCCTTCTGCGCTTGCCATGGGAGGGGAGGCTCACCATTTCGATCCACTTCACTTGGTGACTTTACAGGATGGTGTACTAACGCTCACTGGAGGATACGTCCATATGTTGTACCCGAGATAGTCACTTGCAGTTTGCAACATTTAGTGGGAGATACTGGCGGTGCGTTGTCTCTTGTCACATCTTGTCACGCAGCATTGCATGGCATCTCTCTGCTCTGCCTGAGGGCATTTGGATGACATAGGAAGCGCAATGGAGGCGGAATGGTATTTCGGCACTATTTGCACTGATTATATGTGGAGAAGTGAGAATCTTTGTTGCGAAGGCTTGTTGACCCCATTCTACGCACTCAGGAAACGCTTGCCGGACTTGCGGGTGGTGGACCAGAGTACTGCAAGATGAATTTTCTTCTGTTTGATGATATCTGCTGTATGGTGGTGAATTTGTTGCTGCTGTGTCTTTGTGAAAAAAGGCACAGCAGTGGGCCATCCGTGATTTGATTCGCAATGTTCAGTCAAAAGCGCTGCACATGCCTTACCCACAGGGTTGTCCGAGCATCGACTTGTGGGCACCCTGCACACCGTTGGCCGGGTGTGGGGCGCATGGCGAGTTGTTCCATACAAGCCACTTCGCTAGGTGGTGCTGGGGCAGCTTGGAGCTTGGGGCCAACCCACACAATATGCTCAGTGGATGACAATGACACGATGGGCTAACGTGGTCATTGGGCTCTCAGTGCTGAGAGGTGTTCTTGACATGCCGAATTTCGGCTGAGATGCCCTCTGCACTTGCCATGGCAAGGAGTGCAAGGAGGGGAGGCCTATGATTTGGTGTTCATGAAGAATGTTTGGGCAATGCGGAATTCTTGTCCTATTTGGTTCTCTCCTCCCCATATAGTGTATTTCGCTCCACTGGATGTGGATCCACTTTAGTTTTTTAATAAGCATGTTTTGATTCCAACTCTCGGAATGCAGCATTCCCAGGTGAACATAAACATAATGAACTTATTGTTGCTCGTAGCAGGCCAACATGTGTTCAGGCGCCATCTACAGACCATAGGTGAAAGATCACATAGTGTATAACTCAGGTCCTTTGGTGTAGCCAAACAGATTCTATACATATCATAGATCTAGATGCAGGGGCTTCTGTTTTGGAGCTGTTTCTGTTTCACACTTGTCAAAGCTTTGTGGTTTAACAATGTTTAACAGCCATCCATTTTCTGATTAGAATGAACAGTTGGAATTGCCATAACGTGCTATAAATTTAGGCTATCCGCCATTTTTGGGCAACCCTATTTGGGATGCTTTTGCGTAGATCATCTCAATAAGGCGAGTCGGCTGGGGAACCTCCACCAAGACGCAGATCCAATTTCACGATCTGCATGAGCCATCTCTAATAAAATCTGGATGAAGAGTAGCTGAATGGGTAACATTTTAGATGCAACTGTTTTGTTACAATTTGGCTTCTGTCGGTGAACCAAGGAATCTATTGAACAACATCAACATATATTAACATATCATTTTGATCCCAGCTTTGTTTGGTTGACCTCATGGAGAGAAAAAAGTGAATGTTCAGCAACAGCGGTGGAGTAACAAATGGCGTGCCAATCCAATTTTGCACTGATTTGCACTGATTGTATGCAAAGAGGTGAGAGCCTTTGTTGTGAAGGCTTGTTGAAGCCATTCTGCACACTCAAATAGCACTTGCGTGACTTGCGGGTGGTGGACCTAGAAGAATTTTCGTTTGTTTGATGATATCTACTGTATGGTGGTGAATTTGTTGCTGCTGTGTCTTTGTGAAAAAAGGCACAGCAGTGGGCCATCCGTGATTTGATTCGCAATGTTCAGTCGAAAGCGCTGCAAAGGCCTTACCCACAGGGTTGTCATGGGTTGTCCGAGCATCGACTTGTGGGCACCCTGCACACCGTTGGCCGGGTGTGGGGCGCATGGCGAGTTGTTCCATACAAGCCACTTCGCTAGGTGGTGCTGGGGCAGCTTGGAGCTTGGGGCCAACCCACACAATATGCTCAGTGGATGACAATGACACGATGCGCTAACGTGGTCATTGGGCTCCGAGTAACGGAAAGGGCTGGAGATGCGCTCTATATAAGCTTGCCATGGGAATGAATGCAAGGAGGGGAGGCCAATGATATCTTTGAGCAACGCGGAGATCCTCTTGTCTTATTTTGTTTTGCCTCCGGGTGTGGATCCACTTCTAGTTCGCCGATGTTTCCAGGCTAATATATTTTATCAAAACTGCCTTTTGAATAGAGCATGCTCAGGTGAACACAATGAACTTGTATATCCTTGTGGGTAGAAGGCCAACATGTCTTGAGGCTTCGGACCATGAAGCTACGGTGGATGAAAGATTACATTTCACTCAGATCCTTTGGTGTAGCCTAACATGTTCCAAACACGTCATAGATCTAGATACAGGCTCTTTTGTTTTGGAGCTGCTTCTGTTTCACACTTTTCAAAGCTACGTGGTTTATAAGCTATCCGCTTTCTGATTCGAATAGTTGGAATTGCTATGAACTACCACAAATCCACAAAATTTGGGGTATGAACATGTATGAACCATTTTTGGACAGCCCCATTTTGGATCATTTGGGTATATAGATAATCTCAATTCAACAAGTCCTTCAGCTTTTTTCAACTTTTTTCCAGGCGAGTCTTGGTGGTTCCCCACCAAGCCGCAGATCGCACCAAGGAACTGCAACGATCGCATCAGCGGTTTAGCCGAGGACGCTTTCGTGATCACGAGCCATCTCTACTAAAACCAGGATGAACGGTAGCTGAATGGGTGACTTGGTTTAGGGGCAAATGTATTGTGGTTAAAAAGATAAAAATGCTAGTAATAATAATAGATAATAATAACAATACTACTACTAATAATATATTATATATATAATATAGTGTGCTATGATGGATTCTATCTAAGATCAGCCGTAGCTGCCAAATTTTGATCCCCGCTTCGTTTGGTGGACCTCGAACAAAACACTTCAGAGATATTTGCAGTCGAGATCCCTAATAAATTTTCTGTGGGATCGATGCAGAAGCGACTTCCGAGCTTCACCACCGTAGTATATACAACCCCACCACTTATGAATGGGATAAGCCACGAATCGGTGACTTCGGATCAGGAATTTTCATAGGTTGTAATCGCAATATATTTAACACTACCCAATATAGGTTAATATGAACTGGTTGTCATCATATTTCATAATACCCAGTTACGATACATGAGTTTTTGCTCCAAGTAGGGAACATTGATCAACTACAAAGTGGGGCCCCCTAGATAGCTAAGTTGGTTAATAACTCCAATAACTATGGTTTATGGTACTTATAACCATAGTTATTGGGGCTTATAAACCAACTTAGCTATCTAGGGGGCCCCACTTTGTAGAACCCCTGAAATCAAGACACGAAGCTGTGCAGGATTGCAAGCCCTTGCCGTGTCCCAAGCTGCGTTCTCCGGCGGCGTCCGGTGGCCCAACAGATCTGCCAGGACCACTGATGCTGTTTCAACTGGATTCTTTTGAAGATAGAGATACATATGGATACTGTAGCCACAAACTGGCACTGTTCATTAAAGACATTGAACCATGTGTTTCGTGTATATCCCATTTGTTGCAGATCATTCTTTTTGTGAATGTTCCAATTGGCAAATCCAGCATGTGGAAATCGTGTGGGCTCATGAGGTTTCTTTTCTTCCGCGGGGTGGCAATCTGATGCAAATTCAAATAAAGTGTCAAAAGATGCCCCAAAAGATGGTCCCACAGTTCAGCTTCCATCATTTTTGCACATGAGCAAGGCCATGTGCAAACCATTCAAACTATTTTCATGGGGTCTTTGAAGGCTGCAAACACATGCTATGGTCAATGTTGTAAACTCATCGGAGATTCTAAAAGCCTCAAACTGGTGAAATTGGGTATGGCTTGTATGGCTATTGCTAGACTCTACTAGACCCCAGTTTTATAAATCCATGATAGTGACCATCAATGGTAAATCATGGTGAAGCCATTAGTTTTCCTGTCTTCATTTTGGTCCGCCATCAATCACATTTTGTAGAAACGGTCCCAGACTACCCAGAAAATCAGCCTTTTCACTGGGAACATCTCCATTGAAAACATCCATAGTAATCTATATCAATATCCTCAATGTATAATCAATCATCAATCATCCATAATCATCCATAATCATCCATAATCATCCATAATCATCCATAATCATCCATAATCATCCATAATCATCCATAATCATCCATAATCATCCATAATCATCGATAATCATCCATAATCATCCATAATCATCCATAATCATCCATAATCATCTATGATATCATCATCTATCTTATCCTTCCAACATGTCAGCTGTTTCCCCAGCTTAGGTCGCAAGCAGCGCAGCCCAACCGCCCACGCTGGCAACGTCAATTCATCCCGTTGCCAGTGGGCGAGGCGGCGCCCGCGCCTGGGAGCTTGGTGAAATGGCCTATGAATCACAACTGGTGGTGTATTACTCCTGGGTCAACAATAGCCTGATGAAAATAATGGGCCCTTCCTGTATGGGTGAAAATATGATAAAATATGCAGGGTTGAGATCATG